GATGATATGGTCATTACACACATGCATTCACATGCACACGCGTGCAATGCTAAAATCTGAATGAACTTTGTACACTTCTTGGTAAACGTTGTTAAAGTCTCAAATGCATCGAGTTTGTCTTATTTAATGAAGCTTCCAGGGAATATGGCACCAAAAGGGAGTTGGGGAGCGTTTGGGGAACATCTGTAACGGTCCCCGTTACAATTAGCACTAGTTTGAATTTTTTTTAAAATAACCTATTCACGTACCTCTCAGTAGATATTTCCTCCAACCCTCGCAGCATCTTCCTTCCCGTATGGTGCAACTGCGGTTCTTCTGCCTGTAGAAAAAGTTCTCACATTGTCCGTCTGTCTGGCACAATGAAGCACAATCTAGGAGGGAGCGAACCGAGAGCTCCACGCTGCTGTTCTTTTGGCAGGTGCCCGTACAGTCTACCTGTGTAAAATCAACACCTCTGTCCACCTTATCAATGGTTTGTGATAGACTAAGTGTGAATCGGAGCAAAAAGACCACTGTTACGACCTCTGAAATCATGTCTGGTTTGAAATGAAGAAAAAGAAACCAAACTGGCGCAGATCAATGATATATTGTACAAAACTTATCTGTGTGGAAAATTATAATACTAGTATACATAATGTATGTCTGATATGATGGATTCTTAAGAATTCTAGATTGCTTTTACCCGTTTTAGAAACATTAATAATTTATAGATTTCGAGATTTTTTTATTAAGTGACATTTGCAGAACTGATGTGATGACAGTGATAAACATAAACAAATCACAAGAAAGTCCAAGGTTGTGTTCATGTACAAGGAAATCATCAAACTCTACATAATTAACAAGCTAACTAAATCAAGATCAAGAGTACTGTGCAACAATATATTCAAGAAGTGGTGTAAATCAGATGTGGATACAAGTACTTAAAAATTCCAAGGAACTTTTGTACATTTGGAATCACAAGATTTCACCAAAAACAGCTTAAAAACTTACGACTTTTTCAACTTTATACACAACCAATCCCCACGATAAATTAACGTCCAGGCTTTTTGATATCATTGACAGCTGCTTTTTCAATGAAAATGGAACTCGTAAATTTACTCACCTTGTCACTGGTCATTTGCAACAATTATTCTGAAGCTGACATTAAAAAGATGCTTGAATTTCTAATTGACAATATTTATGTTGTGTTTGGAGACCAGGTCTTCCAACAATCTATTGGAATTCCCATGGGTACCAATTGCGTCCCGTTATTAGCAGACTATTTTTGTAAACATATGGAGCAGAATTTATGCAAAATCTTATGCGTGAAGAGAAAAAAACACTTGCTGTGACACTCAACATTTAGATATATCGACGACGTATTGTCAATTAACAATGGTAATTATGTTCCCCAAACGAAGTTGGGGAACATATTGTTTTTACTCTGTTTCTTATTATTATTATTCTTATTATTTTTCTTCCTGGGAAAATTTTGTCCGCGAGTGATCTTGTAAACTACACATCCGACTTAGGTGAAACCTTTTTAGGGTAAGTAGGCATGTTATGTAGATTTGCGGAACGAAGGTCATTTTGCGCGCACGTGCTTGCAAGAGCGCGCACGTGCAACACGTGAAATGACCAATATACTTGAAATTGCCGTAACTTTTATATTTTTCGATGTAATGCTTTGATATTTAGAATATAGAGACATATTATAAATATAGATAAGATGACATTGTCAATATGCCATTTTGCGCGCACGTGCTTGCAAGAGCGCGCACGTACAACACGTGAAATGACCAATATAATGGATATAGCCGTAACTTTTTTATTTTCTGATGAAATCTTTTGAAATTTATAATTAGTAGTGTAGACAAGATGACATGGTCAAAATAGCAAGATGTCACGCGCATGCACGTGCGCTTCGCTCTGATTGGCTGAAACTAAATTCTCAATATCTTTCTTGTTTTTTGATAAAATCCTTTGAAATTTTGAACATAGTCAAACATTATGAAGATCTACAGCATGATATATAAGAATTATCATAAAAGCATGCGCAAGCACGTGTTCTGCAATCTGATTGGCTGAAACTTTTAATGCCTATAACTTTCTTGTTTCTCAACAAAACATGATGAAATTTAGAATATAAATAGGTATAATGGATTCCTACGTGATACTACTATGTTTGCATGCACTTGCGCATGCGCAATGCGTAAAATGATCAATATATTTGAAGAACGGTGACATTAATAATTTTATGATTTTTTATTGGTTCTTGGAATATATAAAGAAATGTTAATGATTTAGCAACATGCCATGATCACCTTGCATGTGCAAGCACGTGCTTTTGCGTGCAGTGCGTTAAATGACAAAGTTTATATCATTGTAGCTTTTAAAATTCTTTTATGAAATCCTGCAATACTGAGCATATTAAAAAAGTTTTAAAGGAAATTGGCACAAAAAAAAGGAGTTGGGGAGCGTTTGGGGAACATCTGTAACGGTCCCCGTTACAATTAGAACTAGTTATTATTATTATTTTTTTTCTTATTTGTTCTCCGGTACTTTTTTGTCCGCGAGTGTTCTCAGAAACTGTTCACCCAACTGAGCTAAAACCTTTTTAGGGTTAGTAGGTGTGTAGTGTAGGTGTGCGGAACGAAGGTCATTTTGCGCGCATACGCATGCACGTGCGTGCGCGTGAAATGAGTGAATTGACTGATATACTTAATATAGCTATAACTTTTACATTTTTTGATGAAATGATTTGAAACTCATTATATAAGGATAGATTAGTAGTGTAGATAACGTGATACTGTCAAATTCGCACGAACTCACGCGCATGCACGTGCGCTTTGCTCTGATTGGCTGAAACAAAAATCTCAATATCTTCTCTGTTTTTTGACGAAATGCTTTGAAATTTAAAACATAGGCATGCTTTAGGATATTCTACAATATGGTATATAAGAATTTTCATCAAATCACGCGCATGCACGTGCGCTGCAATCTGATTGGCTGAAACTTTAAATGGCTATAACTCCCGTGTTTTTCAACCAAACAGCACGGGATTTAGAACGTAGACAAACATAATGGACTCCTAGAAGAAGGTATAGTCATCATGAACATACTTGCACGTGCATGAACGTGCGCTTCGCTCTGATTGGCTGAAACAAAAATCTCAATATCTTTTTTGTTTTTTGACGAAATGCTTTGAAATTTAAAACAAAGGCATGCTTTAGGATTTCCTACAATATGATATATAGTAATTTTAATCAAGTCACGCGCATGCACGTGCGCTGCAATCTGATTGGCTGAAACTTTAAATGGCTATAACTCCCTTGATTTTCAACCAAACAGGATGGGATTCAGAACATAGATAGATATTATAGACTCCTACAGCAGGGAATGGTCATCATGCACATGCATGCACGTGCGTGCACATGAAATGAGTAAAATTCCAAATACACTAGATTCAACATATTTTTGGATTAAATGCTGTAATATTTAGTATATTAAAATATATCAATAGTGTAGACAAGATGATATGGTCATTACGCTCATGCATTCAAATGCGCATGCGTGCAATGCTTAAATTGAATACTTCTGGTAAAACTTTGTTAAAGTCTTAAATGTATCGCGTTTGTCTTATTTAATCAAGCTTACAGGGAATAAGGCAACAAAAGGGAAATGGGGAGCGTTTGGGGAACATCTGTAACGGTTCCCGTTACAATTAGCACTAGTTTACATTCTTATGTCGATACATTATATCCTGGTGAGCTTGAGATAAAAGATACCACAGAGTCTGACTCATCTTTTTCATATTTGGATATTTTACTTGAAAAAGACATCAGAGGTAATCTAACTACCGAGCTCTATGATGAACGTGATGAATTGAACTTTTATATCGTCAAATTCCCTTACTTATACAGCAATATACTTTCATCACCTGCATACAGAGTTTATATTTAAGGAATCACTGTCTAGTTTTGAGAGTATGCCAGGGCATCAACAATAGTGGGTAACATGGGATAATTTGCATAACGGGCGAAGCCCGTTATGCTAAAATTATCCCATGTTTCCCACTATTGTTGATGTCCCTGGCATACTCTCATAACTAGACAGTGATTCCTTATATTTCCATTTCATTGTGAAATAAAATTGTTGATTTAGACTTTAAAAATGCAGACATAGATTTAAATTTCACGAGGATTCCCATCCCAATTTTAGTAGGCGTCGCCGAACACAACGGCAGCCGCACGAAATTTTCATGCATATTTGGCCTCCTTAGCATCAGACTCAGAGACAGATGCGCACGAGATTTTCATGCATACTAGGCCTCCATAGCTCCTGACCTATCGACCTGCCTAATTTACATTCCGGCAGAATTATCAGGAAATAAACTCCGCTTACTTTCAAAGGGTTATCATAGAGAAAAAATTTAGAAATGGAAATATATCTCAGTTAATTCGATACGCAAGAGCATGCACTACGTATGAACAATTTCTAAAACGAGGTAAATTATTGACAGACAAGTTGATGAATCAAGAATTTCAGCTTTCTCGTACTCTCGTTTAAAGTCATCATTTCGTAAGGTCTATGGTTGATACAATGACCTTGTCAGCAATACAGTTTATCATTGAGTCAAATGCTGACTGACGTTTTTCATACTAATTGTTAGTCCATTATTTATACACTGAATTGACAACGGATTTTCTCGTTATTTCCCGAACATGACAAGGAGCACACGGGGGGTGTGACCGGTCGGCAGGGGATGTTTACTCTTCCATGGCACTTGATACCAGTTGTGATGTTTTGAAGGTCCTTGTTTGCCCTGCTCCTATATTCTATTGTTTTATAGACTTCTGATCTTGAATATTGTTCGTTATCTCTATGTTTCATGTTAGGTCCGCTCGCTTACTCGAGCGCTTCATTAGTTTAGCGTGTATGCGAGCAGATCTAACATCTAATTTTATTAAATTGTATAATTAAATATTTTTAATGATCAGTTTCACATTTTGTGATTGTAGAATTTACCTAAGAACATTGATGTGCGTGTGAAACACTGATGCCCGCATAAGGTAGCACATGGAGAAGTTTTTACAAGGGCAATGTCCTGAACTGTATGACATACAATACAGATATCATATGACATTAAGCTTGACATTCTCTCATAATTGAATATTTAATGAATATATAACAGTTTATGTGACTACTTTTCGTCACATAGTTTCATTGTGAGAAACTGGGAAACAAGGGCTATTCGAGACACTGCATTATAAACGAATGGTAAAGATTCAGTAAACTAGAGTTAAAATAAAAGCTTCATTAAAGCTGCTGTAAAACGTGTTAAAAATTCCAAAGAAATTTTCACTGAAATTTGTGACATTTACAGCAACCATTGCCTGTTTTATAGACAAATGAGCAGGTGGATTTAAATGATAAAAAAATATATAACGGGATACTGTCCTTGCCAACAAAAATTATAACAACTTATGTGCTATTTGCCCAATTTCAAAAAATAATATCTGATAATGTATGATTGACTTTAAGACACATAGCAAATTTGATAGACATCATTTCAGGAGTAGTTTACACTTTTTTAAGAAAAGTTTGACGGTAAAAAAGCTTAGTACTCAAAGGTCACCCTATATTTTGAAAAATGAGTGAAAACGAAAGCGTGTACGAATGTCTTAACAATTATTTTAAAATATCAGTAATTGTAGCTATTAACTTTTGTTTGGAATTCAAACAGATAATGAAACTTGAATCCATTGTTTAAAACCCTCGAAACAAAATTTACAATAAGATGTACTTGACAAAAACAGCGAAGGTCTGACAAGAGCAAAGAATTGCAAGAGCACAAAGACAGATTTATATGCAATTTTCTTAAATATTAGTGGTATTGTTGTTCAAATTCGTATTCGGGGAGACAGTTTAATTTCTGGAGGAGTCTAGAAAGCAATTTGTTTGCAAAAAAACTGAAAGGTTTATTAGAGGAAGGACCGAAACTCAGCAATCCACTACATTAAATTTCTTCATGACAGCGTCCAAACCCGCACGCCCTAAAGAGTAAAGGAGCTTTGCGGATAAACAGAAAGTTAACATTTTTCACATTAACAATATTCGCCAGATCTTTGACTTTTTGACTTGTTTCTATTTCCAAACTTGAAAAAAACACCTTTCAGAAGGAAGAAACAAGTCAAGGAAATCACAGGATCTGCCATTTTCGAGTATACTTAAGGTCATTCTCAAAAATGTCTTCTAAAATCAATCAGGAATTGGATAAAAATGTTATGGATATGTGTTTTAATTAAAAGAAAATATTTAATAAGGGAAATCAGTAAGACTAAATTATTGATAAGTTTTTTTTGGTTTCTTTCCGAGTACCGAGGACATTATTTATTGAACAGCTATGGAACACCATCACTGCCTTATAGCATAAAACTATGCATTCATTATGTCAATCTATCATTACGTGATGTGAACATATCTTAACGTTATGTCAATTTTTTATGGGGTGATGTAAAAATATCTTTACATCATGTCAATGCTGCATTACATGAAGTAAACACATTCTTCCATTATGTCCGCACTTTATAACTTGAAGTCCAAAGTTCATGTGAAGTGAAAATATGTTTACATTGTGTTAAAACTTTATTACGTGAAATGAATGTTTCTTTATATTATTTCATTTCTTTAATATGTGAGGTCAAAATTGCATTACGTCAAGTTAATTTCGTTTTACATGTGTTCTATGATTAAAAGTCAAAGTCCATTCCCTTTTGTGAGTGTATATTTCTATTATAATTAAGCATTATTGCGTGATGTTAATGTATCTTTATTCTACGCCAAGGTCATCACAATGTGAGGTAAAAACATCTTACCTTTATGTCAGTGCTTTATTACGTGATGTAAAAAGGTTTATAATATAATGTGAACATATATTATGGAGACAGTCCCGGCTTTCCGTATTATACCAACACTTTATTACATTATGTCAAAACTCCATTCCGTGATGTGGATATATAATTACGTTATGTCAATTCTTTCTTATGTGATTTAAAACTATCTTTACATTGTGTTAATTCTTTATCATGTTGATTACAAATATTCACTACGTGCCGTAAAATAGATTTACATTATGTCAAAGTTGATAACCGTGTTTTCACGACTGGAAACGGGGGGGGGGGGGGGGGGCCGGATTAATAGTAATTAGGACGAATTACAGACAGATTATATGGGGGGGGGGGGTCCGGCTTCCTCTTTTTTTCCGACATAACTTTATCATAGAAAATGTTCATTGAAATTCCGTCCCACTTTTTGCTGAAGTATATGGGTAATGTAGTATATTTGGAAATTTTTTTAGGACTGATCGAAGTTGGACCCCCCCCCCTCTTTCACCCGAAAAAGGATTTTCGAGCTTGTAATTTTTTTTTCTTTTTGCTTTTTCTTGTACGTTATTTTTTTCTGGCTGACAAACCTCCCCCAACTTTCAAAAAAAAGGATATAAAGACTGACAAAAAGCTTGGGACACTGTTTTGTTGTTAGATCAGAAGTTTCGGACTTTTCAAAATAATTCAAAATAAAAAGGAAAATATTGCTGCATGACACATACTATTTGATTAGCAATAATTATGTTATGAAAGAACTATATGCGGTATATTGCATATATTTGCCCCCATAAAAGTCAAATTTTGAAAACTTCCTGAAATGTGCTGAATTCAATAAATTGTATGAGAAATATAAATGAACAGAACATATTATTGTTTCAAAGTAGTTTGTTCACAATTTTTGTTTTTATGACATCACAAACTAGTCTGATTTTATATTCTTTTTCAGAAAAAGGACTAAATGGACTCAATTTCAATAATTTTAGCTTTAGAATTTATAGAGCGCAAGTTTGTTCAGGAACAATATTGACATATTTCATTGATATTATCATTCTACACATTATATCAAAATATTGATCCTGAACACGCATGCGCTCGGTGACTTTTACTCAAAATATCGACGAAATATGTACATATTTCTGTAAAATTCATAAAAACTGAAATTTACGTCATGTTTGTGACGTCATTACGTACATATGACGTCGGTAATTATGAAAATATTCAGTGCTTCGAAGTCAGCATATATACTCCCCTGTTTAAGAACTTAATTAAATATATCTCCATCAAAGTTTGATTTGGGGGGGGGGGGGGGGGGGCAAATATTGGTTAATACCGAATAAAGTTCTTTAACGGCCATTGAATTTCGACGTTAAAAAAAAACAATCGTCAATAAAGATTCCACGGGAACATGATCCTATTTATAAATTTTTAACCTGATATTTAATTAAGAATTAATTAAGTCTTGTGTATAATTTAATATTTGATATGTTTTATTTAAATTATTTGCATGTTTAACATATGTGCATGTAATATTGAAAACACAAAACGAACTTTTAAGCTAACCTAAACCTCACGTCACGCAATAAAAAGTTGAAATATTATAACATATACTGACAAGAGGCTAAGCATTTTAGACACAATGTAAAGATATAATGGCATAACATAATAATGATTTGTCAAAAAGTAAGGGAAAATTGACATCATGTAATAGATTCCCGTCGTCATGTAGCATATTGATGACACAATATAGTAAAGAATTGGCCACATGTGACAATTTTTTTCACATCATGTAAGGAAATTCTGACATCGTGTTATAGCGACTTAATATTGAATTAAAGATAAATTCACATCATTTAATGAACTACTTAGACCAAATAGTAGAGAGTGCACATAATGTAATAATGAGTTGAAATTATATAAAAACATCTTTACACCACGTAAAATTGTTTTGACTTAATGTCATAAAGAGCTGATATAATGCAATGGAAGATTGGCGCAATGTAATTGAAGTGCGAGTTAATGCCATAAAGACTTAACATAATGTAATGGAAAGTTAACATAACGCAATAATAGTGTGTGTAAATATCATAAAGAGTTGACATAATGTAATGGAAGATTGACATAATGCAATAGTGGTGTGGGTTAATGTCATAAAGAGTTGATATAATGTAATGGAAGATTGACACAATGCAATAGAAGTGTGGGTTAATGTCATTAAGAGTTGATATAATGTAATGGAAGATTGACACAATGCAAAAGTAGTGTGTGTATATGTCATAAAAAGTTGATATAATGTAATGGAAGATTGACACAATGCAATAGTGGTGTGAGTTAATGCCATAAAGACTTAACATAGTGTAATGAAAAGTTGACATAATGCAGTAGTAGCGTGTGTAAATGTCATAAAAAGTTGACATAATGTAATGGAAAGTTGACTCAATGCAACAGTACTGTAAGTAAATGTCACAAAGTGTTGACATAATAGAATGGAAAGTTGATCCAATACAATTGTAGTGTTCTGCTATAAGGCAGTGTCGGCTTCAAATGCAAATTAAACTCAAAGGTAAATGTTAAGTATGGAACGCCGTCACTACCTTATAGCAGAACACAACGATTGCATTGTGTCAACCTTCCATTACATTATATCAACTCTTTATGACATTTACTCACACTGCTATTGCATTGTGTGAACTTTCCTTTACATAATGTCAACTCTATACGACATTTACTCACACTACTATAACATTGTGTCAACCTTCCGTTTCATTATGTCTACTCTTTATAACATTTACTCACACTATTATTCTATTGTGTCAACCTTCCATTACATTATGTCACCTCATTATGACATTTACTCACTCTACTACTGCATTGTGTCAACCTTCCATTACATTATGTCACCTCATTATGACATTTACTCACACTATTATTACATTGTGTAAACCTTCCTTTACATAATGTTAACTCTATATGACATTTACTCACACTACTATTACATTGTGTCAACCTTCCATTATATTATGTCAACTCTTTATGACATTATCCCACACTACTATTGTATCGTGTAAACCTTCCTTTGCATTATGTCAACACTTTATGACATTTACACATTCTACAATTATATTTCGTCAACTTGCATTTCGTTATGTTTACTGTTCATGACATTTAAATAACAA